CATCCTCCATCTCACTCCCGCCACCATGGCATCCACCCGCAAGCGACACAAGCCATCCCGCCAATCATCAACCTTGTCCTCTCCAGCTGTCAATGTCTCGCAATCTAATACCTCTGAACCTTATAATGAAAGTAATCCTGGCACAGGAGACCTCACTACTCCAAGTAGCACCCAGCCTCCACCTGGAATAAACCACGACGCAAGCGACCGGGAGGAGTTGAGTAAGTAATGTTTCCAGTTAACTATATTGGTTGGTCAACATTAATTCTAACACCACACTATCCAACCCAGAGAAAGCCCGTAGAGTTGCTGCAAATCCTGAAAGTAAGACCTACCGGACGTATATGGAACCCGAGCTCTCTGACCAACGAGACAAGCACAATAGGCGAATGATAGCATACCCTTGCAAAATGTGAGCTTGACTCACCAGATCTGTCACAATCAATTCCTTCCAGCTGACATTTTCAATTAGTTGTGGCACTCGGATCAATCGGCCGACTTCGGACTCCTCGTGTAGTAACCTCAATAAACACTCAGCGGTATGCCGCCACAAGCAAAGTCAGATGGAAAGTAATCAGACTCTAGCCCAAGTTGGTGTCAAGGGGACTGGAGACATCAATCCCCGAGACGTAAGCACACCAGGTCAACATTTCAATGCAACTATGCTGATGATGTGATGATGATTTGTTTTCTGCAATTAACGATTCAGGTGAATCAGCTTTGTGCAATATGGTGTGCCGAGGCGGCCAGGCCTTTTTCTGCCCTAGTCGATGCCAGCCATCAGGCACTTCTTCATCCAATGATCAAGAGGTCTTTGCCGGGAAGACAAACAATCTCTACTGACATACACATGTTATACTCGGCTACCCAACAGGACTTGAAGAATCTTCTGGAGGTGAGTTTACTATTTCACATCATCATTAAACCCGTATCTTATCAATATCTGACAATACTTACCTCTCAATCTCCTGATTTCAAGTTGCACACAGGCTCCTTGTACTTGGGTGTTGACGCCTGGCAGTCACCCAACGGATTTGATATCCTGGGCACTGTCGTTTACCGATTAGATGAGGATGACTCCGGGAATCCAAAGCTACTATCCTTCCCCCTTGACTTTGTCCGTCTTTCTCGGAGTCACACAGGCAAATATTTGGCCGAGACGGTTAGCTTGGTGGTTGATAAGTTTGGAATTCAAGATAAGGTTTGATCATTATTTTTTCAATCAATATTATTCACCCATCCCTACTAATCAACTCTGACTCCCACAATGTTCTTTTTCCTGTTCAGATATGTGGGATTGTCAGTGACAATGCTTCCAACAACAAAGTAATGGTAAACGAACTAAAGAAGAAGAAGTGGGCACGGTTCAAGGGCGAGCCACAGTGGATACGGTGTTTTGCTCACGTGTTGAACCTAATTGCCCAAGGAATCCTCCGACCGTTTGGAAGTCAGAAGAAATCAAAGGCAACAAACCCGACGGCACCAATGGCACCAGAGGAGTCAGGAGATTCGAGCTCCGAGGATGAAGATCCCGAGGAACAAATAAGACCGTAAGTCTGAGTTAATTCCTGCAAAAATCAATTATACTCATGCATGCATGAGTGATTCCCAATCCAGGTATTCTCAAGGGGCAGATGAATCATCCTCAGTCCACGAGGATGAAGAAAGCGAGGATGATCAGTCAGTGGGACAGAATGACCAAGATGAAACCGAATCACTTGATCTTGACGATATCGAAAACGCTAGTGATGAAGGTGAATCAGATTTGTATACAACGGATGGTTGCAAACAAACCTTGGCAAAAGTAAGATGGTTTCCTTTTTTGTTGATCAATAGCTCAACAACTGACACTTCTTAGCAATTGCACCAGTTTCGCGCAATTGCTAAGAAGTTACGGTACTCCCCCAACTCAAAGGATGAGTTTCGAAAAATTTGTCGGGAGAAAGGATGTGCAACTCCTCATACAATTGAACAAGATGTTCGTACACGATGGAACTCAACCAATGCCCAACTAATCAGCATCATCAGATGTGAGGCCGCCATGTGAGTTGTCCTTCTGAAAATCTGTTATCAATTCTTACATCATCAAACTGACCATTGTTTACAACCCCAGTGTGGAATGGCAGCGTCATAAACGACATGGGGTTGAGCGGAAGTACCACATTGGCCAATCGGACTTTGGTTTAGCTCGCCACCTGGCAGAGGTATTGAACATCTTCTACGAAATAACACTACAAATCTCAATCCCTGGCTCGGCTCGCTTGGCAAATATTGTCGTATTCATTGATCAGATTACGGAACACTTATCAACTGCCATTAGTGGCACAGATTATCCACCAGCATTACGGAATGCATGTCGAGTGGGGTTGAAACTTACAAACAAATACTATAGCTTGACCGATATGTCTCCTCTTTATAGGATCGCAATTGGTACATCAATCTCAATAGCTTATTCATTCTCAGTTCTCTTCACTAACACACATCCTTTATCTTCACTCTAAAAAACTGATTTTATAATCAGTTCTTCACCCTTCCTTTCGCGACGAGTACTTCAAGCTTGCTAGCTGGGAACCCGAATGGATTTCCGAAGCAATACGGCTCACCCGGGATATGTGGGTATCTTCTTACAAGCCCCAGCCGATTGCTCCTCCCATCACATCAGTGGTTCTCCCCAGCAAGGTAAGCCAATCACATCAATGCTTTTTCAATTTCCTTCTCATACTGATGTTTATCCATCTTTCCTCAGCCAAAGAGTAGCATGCTTGCCGGCTTGGGTGGTGCAGCCGCTGCACGAGGAGGCCACTCCTTATCCGACCCATTGGACATCTGGCTTGCAGGGGGGCTCATCCTGAACGACAATGAACCGGTGAACCCACTGAAGTGGTGGCTGCAGCAAAAGAAATCAGGAAACACACACGGGGGCTTGCTGCAAATGGCACTGGATGTGTTAAGTTGTCCAGGTTAGTAGTCAACTCCTATCTCTGGCTCTGACCGCAATCAATCTGACAATTTTTTGAAAAATTTGCAGCCACATCTGTTGATGTTGAAAGGGCATTTAGCTTCGGCCGTGATTATGTCTCATCAAAGCGGCACCGTCTCTCCGCCCAGTCGCTTAGTAGGGGGATGGCTGTAGCCTTTTATTCAAAGAATGGGATGATAAACGAGGGAGTTTTGGCCAAGTGGAAAGATGGCATAAAGTCTTCTACCAAGGGTAAATCAAAGGAGAAAGGTAAAAGAAAGGTTATAGTTTTGGATGATTAGATTTAACATGATGAATGCAATTTAAAACTATAAGAGTGGCTTTTGGCACTGCGGGTACCGCTGGTACCCGCCTTAAGTACCGCTGGCACCCGCCCGGGGGTGCCGGGTGGGGTGCCGGGTGTCCACTTCTGAGCAAAACAAAGCGGGTACCCGGGTACCGCTGGCGGTACCCGGGTACCGATTGTCATCTTTAAATTAAACCATACAAAACTAGTGATAATGATAAATTTCCTTTAAGAAAAGATAACATCAGAGTTGTAATACCTCCTTTAGAGAAAGAAGAAATTAAAATTAAGAAGATATTACAACATAGAAAAATCAGAAAAAACAATGAGGACATTAAACAGTATTTAGTAAGATACAGTGGTACCAAAGAAGATGAATGGCTTACAGTTGATAAAATACCTGATGCTGATAAAATTCTCAGACAATACAGAGCTGATAAAAGAAAATAACATTCATTTATTTCTTGGATCAGCCTTTTTTAGAGGGAGGAAGTGTCAGCCACAGAGTACATGTCACAGTACCTTTCATGTACCAAGTAACTGCAACACCTGTACTTATGTACATAAGTACTTATCCATAATGTTGATTACCTTTACCTCTTGTTATCTTATTATTATCATTAACTTATCTTATCTTATTTATCTTACATTTATCTTATCTGTTAATTACTTATCTATTTAAATACATACCTGTGTTCTACATAAGTAATTATCACTTACCTTTCACTCCCTTGTCCGTGAAATACCTGTACCACAAGTTATCCCTCTGCTACAGTATTTTCACGGTCAAATATTATTACAAATAAATATGTACATGTATTAAATAGTAAGTATTAAGTGTCAATAGAATTAATACATTCAATACATGCACAGATCACAATTATGACTACATTATTAGAGGATCTGTTAAGTACACATCAAGAGCAACTAGTACATTGATCAACTAGTACACAATTATGATGTCACTTACAGATCATGACAAATAATGATCAGTCACTCAATTGATGTGCTCATTCTCCTGGCCAAAGCTCCCTTGATTCTGAGCGCTCATTCTTTCCCCCCTTCAGTATTCTGGAACTTATAATCCGTGCCTCTTTCACTGATTAATCCCCAGAATATTCAGACACCAGTTAAACCAGTTAACATTTATATTGATACAGTACCCGTAACCAACATAAATCTTGTCTACATTTATTGTTCTTAAGCTTCAGTACTCTTACTCAACTTATCCACAGTATTCATAGCCTTGCTGAATATTCCCATCAACAATACCTGTTAATCTTCAACTAATTTTGTTAAAGCTTAATAAGTATTGTTAGCCCATTCCCTTTAGGGAATAACCAAATCAATCCCAGGTGAGTCTTAGTACCCTGGATGCCTATTAATACCTTGTATTGATCCGGATGCGCTGTTGATAGCAAGCCTCTCAGTAAAGACCATACTGATAGAGTGAAACCTCCTCTTTACAGGACTGGTATTAATCACCCACTACCTAACACTCACCACGCTCATAAACTACAGTCAACTCATAGTAACAACCTTTTTACTATTAAATATTCAGGTTAGTTACCCAGAGGCTGACAATCTGATTCCCAGCCGGCTTCCAATAATGTTTCTCAACCCGCAACTCAAGCATCAAATGGCGGCTCTACAAACTCAAAGGACTGGGAGTGACCGACTGGTATCCACAGTGCCAAACGCCAAGAGGCCGACGATCTGTACAGAAGAAAAAAAATGAAACTGCTTGAGTACTCACACAATGAGTCAATCAAACAAACGGCTGAGGTGAAAAGGGGAAACGACATCCAAGCTGAATTAGTCGCGATCAACCAAGCCAAAAAAAATCTCAACTGTATGCTTCAAAACCTCGATGACTGCCCCGATGACCTTGCGCGCGAGTACTTGGCTTCTGAAAAGCAGAGAATCATGGAAGAAAGACGACTTGCGATGAAAAAATCATCCTCATCAAGGCCCCAACCATCCGTAGAAGAAGATGGCGAATCAGATGAAGACAAAGATGGTGACATGACTCAAACTCAAAACATCACTAGTCAAACCGGCAATCAGGAGCTTCCAATTAGAGATGGTCGATTGGCATCCGGATATCCGCGCGGATGCGGATATCCGGCTGCTTTTTCCGGCCATCTGAGCATCCAAATCCCGCATCCGCAACCCGCTGGCGGGTATCCGTCGGCCACAGCGGGTATCCTAGGATACCCGCACTCTAAAGGGCCGGCTGGAAGGGCTTCTTTCAGCCAGCGAGGTACTTGTACTCATCGACTGGAAGGGTGCCCTCCAATCGACGAGGTACTTGTACCTCGTCGACCGGAAGGGCTTCCTTCAGCCGGCGAGGTACTTGTACTCGTCGACTGGAAAGGGTGTCCTTCCAGCCGGCGAGGTACTTGTACTCGTCGAATGGAAGGGTGTCCTTCCAGTCAATGAGGTACTTGTACCTTGTCGACCGGAAGGGCTTCCTTCCAGCCGGGGAGGTACTTGTACCTCGTCAACCGGAAGGGCTTCCTTCCAGCTGGGGAGGTACTTGTCCCTCGTCAACCGGAAGGGTGTCCTTCCAGTCGACAAGGTACTTGTACCTCGCCGGCTGGAAGGAGACCCTTCCAGCCGGCCATCTACCCTTCCGGCCGTGGGTATCCTTTGGGATACCCGGATACCCGCCAAATTTTTGAGGAAAAGGGGCCATCCGCACCCGTTGGCGGGTATCCGTTGGCACTGGCAGGTATCCGCCAGCGGATAACGGGTATCCGCGACAGATACCCTTCGACCATCTCTACTTCCAATTGACCCTCTCCTTCCCCACTTATAAGATATGAGTTCGTGTATTTTTTTGTTCACAACGATGGGGTTTTTTTCCCGCTTTTTTCCCCAGTTTGTTGTTTTCTTCCTTCTTCCTCGCTTTTCTCTCCTCTCAATCTCAAATTACTCGATCATCTCATGTAGTAAACATAAAATAGTGATTATGAATTATAAGCAATAGCAAAGTTCAACAGAGAGTAAAAACATAATGAGGATATAAGTAAAAAAAAAATCAGGATGAAAGTGCTTCATCCCAATTGATGCCACCTTGATTGGATGAAAGTGCTTCATCCCAATTGATGGACCCATCTTTGTGATTTTTTTCCACAAGTGCGAGATGAGATCGTTGGTGAGGTTGGTATGTATGAATTCCGATCGCATTTCAATCCCACGAATTCGTTGTTCTTGGAGGCTGTAAGGCTCCGATCTTGGGGGAATCAGCTTGGTTGAAGCTGGGAGAGGAGGGTATTCTTTTGGGATTGTTCAAGATTCGACGATCATGTTATGCAGAATTATGCATGTGTTCATGATAGCATGTAAATAACCAGGGTACCAGCCCATAGCTGGTTCCTTCAAGATCTTGAACTGTCCTTGAAGGATTCCAAAGGCCTGCTTGATGTCTTTCCGGAATCCTTCTTGGCATTTGGTGAAGAATTTAGTTGGTGCATCTTGTGAAACGAGAGACTTCGATTGGATTAAAGTGGACCATGGGTAATAGATGCCATCGACGAGGTAATAAGGCATCTTGTAAACATGACCTTTGAGTTCGAATTCAACACCCCAACCCGTTCCAGCTATTGTTGATTCATAGAGAGGTGATCGATCAAGGATATTCTTGTCGTTCAGAGCATAGGCTGTGCCAAAAAATGAATGCCAGATCCAAGTATCTTTGGTTGTCGTTGCCTCAAGGACGATTGTTGGGGTCTTTTCTTTCCCTTCATACTGCCCACTCAAAGAGGTTGGGAAGTTCTTACAGGCCCAATGCATGCAGTATAGACTTCCGATACATCCAGGAAATCCTCTGGCTGCATTTTCGGCAAGAATTTTCTTCAAATCTTCTTCACTTGGTGCACGCAGGTAGGTCTCTCCGTATGTTTCTTGAATTGCTGCACAGAAATGCTCCATGTTTTGTCAAGCGGTTGTCTCACCAAGTCAACAGTATTTGTCGGTTGCATCTAGAGGAATCACATAAGCTAGCTGTCGAATTACAGCAGTTATCTTTTGATGAGGACTCAATCCGAGTTTCCCAGTACAATCCTGAAATTGGATGGAATTAAGAAATCAGATTGCTGTTTTTTGTATTTACAAAGAAAGAAAACAGAGGCTCACCGGCTTTTGTACAAAGTAAGGATAATGATCAGTTAGATCCTGAAGGATACACAAAAAGAGACCCTTCTCCATTCGATAACGGCGAGTGAAATCTCGAGTATTGTAAACCGCGTCGGCATTGAAATAATCCTTCATCAATCGTTCATGGTTCTCTAGATGGTCTCGGCGCTTGTTGGGTCAACACTGTTTCTTGGCTGGTTTGATCTCTTCCTCAGAGTCGCTAGAATCGAGGCCATCCTTGTTGAAATCTTTGCTTAGGAGGTTTTGGGTTATTTGGCAGCTGTAAAAAAATCGTTGTTGTGTCTTGAAATCTTCGTCTTTGAAAAGAAAATTGGGTGCCATTTCTGGCGAGCAGAATCAATCCGATGTGGTTGAAAAGATTAGTCAGAGGAGTAAGTGGTTTACTCCTGGGTTTACACCGTACTGATGCGGTTGACAGCCTGGAGTAGCGCTAATCCGCTAATCCGCAACTTAGACCCGCACCGATGCGGTTGCTCTAAGATGCTATGCAGTAGACCTGAAGCCTCAAAATATGCCCTCACCAATATCAAATGGGAGAAGGTCATACAGATGATGGAGTTTCTCAAACCTCTCTATGAGGTTACCCTGATGATATGCCAATCAGAATATCCAACACTCAACATTGCCCTCCCGCTTTACATTTCACTGATCAAGAAATTCCGAGAGGCTCAAACTAAATACAATGCAGCTCAATTGATACCTGCAACTGAGGCAATGGTTAAGAAACTGGTCAAGTATCTGGTCATTGCCTTAGGAAAAACTGCCCCAATATGTGCGATGATTCTCGACCCTCGAATCAAGATTAGAAACCTTGAGAACAATCGGCAATTGTTAACAGATCTTGGACTATCAATCACACCCAAGAGTGCCTCTGAAAAGTTTCAGGTCGAAGCACAGCTCTTTGACCAATCGTTTGGTGCTACACCTGTTAGTCAATCACCAAAAGCTCAATCATCCATTGAGTCAGATGTTTTTGGAGAAAGCAAAACCGCCAACAATGTGACAATGGAGATTCAACAGTATATGCGTGAATCACACGAGAAGATGGATACCAACATCCTGCAGTATTGGAGCTCTCAAACAACCCGATATCCATCACTTGCTGCTATGGCGAAATGCTATCTTGGAATGCCTGCAACAAGTGCCGCATCCAAGCGAGTATTTTCCAGGTCAAAGGCAGTCATCGGCGCACAAAGACACAGCTTGGATTCAACTTCTATCAAACACCTTCTATGTCTGAAGCAATGGTATACGGCATTGGATTTCACCATGTTAGACTCAATCAAATCCAATGGACGCTAACTTCCCCACTGAAATTCCATGAACCTTAGCTTTCTTTTTTTTTTTTTTTCATCATACTTTCAATTTTTGTGTTTTACATACTGAATTATAAACACCACTACATAACGATCCACTTTCATCTGACTACAACCGTTTAACAATATAAATATGTAATCTACTTTGACCGTTTGTTTGCTTCGCGTCTCCTTGTGCCAGAACTTGCATCAAGAAAAAAAAAGGAAAAACAACAACAACAACAAACTTGTCTACTCCCGTAATCGGGCCAGCTGGTAATCCAGTTTGTGGTTTTTGACTGCGGATACCCGACTGAAGTCCGAAGTCGGAACGGCCTCCGTACCCGCAGAATTGTTTCTTTTTCCTTTTCGAAGAGCACCGACCCAACCACCGTCCCCGCAGGGTCGGATCTCGGGTATGTCCGAAACCCGCGGTGGTCGGGTGCCAGCCCTAGTATTGAGTCAATTTTTAGAACTTGTCAGCTTGTTGAAATAACAACATGTTTATCATAAGTGGATTTTGAATGGAGTCAAGAAATTATCCATCCTTCCGTGCTTGAGCCTGCAGGCTTGAGCATGAGAGATTTGTGAGTCATCTTTCTTCTTTGCTTATTGTTTGACAACATTTCTTGCTAAACTGAGTTGGTAGAAGCAAAGGTAAGGTTCTAAAAAAGAACTCCCCTAGCAGAAACACATGTGTATCTCAAGAAGTGACAGCTAAAGGTTGTTAACTTGACCTCCCCTAGCAGAAACACATGTGTAGCTCAAAAAGTGAGAGAGCTAAAGGTTGTTAACTTGACAAGGTTTCCAGATCCTCTCAGGCAAGTACCCCCACTTTACTCTCACAAGTCCCTCCCGGCTTTGCCACCAGCCAGTGCTTCACACCAGCAAGCCTCCCACCAGGGGGGGACTTAGTTAAGTTAGGGTATTGTTGGGGTGTAAAATTTCACGCTAGCTGTATGGAATTGATTGTCATTCACTGGCTTTTTGGTCATTAAGTTCGGACACAAGCATGTTTCTGATAGAACCCATGCTAACTTGACTACGGGCTTGGAAAAACGACTCCTAAATTTTAGGCAACGACTCCCGTTTGGTCGTTGACGTTGAGAGGACCTTCTGCGGACCACCCCTGGACCAACTCTGGACCCAGGGCTTGGTCCGGGGAGTCGTCGGACCAATATGAATTTTTTTAATGGGAGTCATCCGCCCATTTTGAACTACATTTTTTTTATTTTTTTTTGGGAGTCGTCCGCCTAATATTTGGGAGTTGTCGCTCCCAATTCTCATCTTTTTTTTTTGGGTTTTTTTGGGTTTTTTTGGGTTTTTTTTTTTTTTTTTTCATTGGGAGTTGTCAGGCTGTCCTCATCTGACAAAACGGGAGTTGATGGCCCAATTTCCCAAAGTGACGACTCAGCTATTTTTTTGTCTTGCGGGAGTTTTCAGACCACTCCCTAGGAGTCCGCTTGGGAGAAGAAAAATTGTTTCTTCTCCCATGCAGGAGTTGCCAACCCTAACCTGCATACCCACAACCAACCCATATCCACTCACCCAAATCGACCTTCAAGTTCAATGACAAAACCCAATTTTTTTTTGCTTTTCTATCCAATTTTTCTCATTTTTTCCCCTTGCAGTTACATAACCCAAGACTCTTTGCTGCCCCTCAGCTCATGAAGGATTGGAAAGAAGAGGCCTCAAAAGAGGCTTGGGGATGGGAAGCCAAATTTTCTGATTGTTTCAAATTGACTGTAGAGAGGAAATTTGTTTAATGCAATGACCCACTACTAGGGTTTTTTTTCTGTGTCTTTTTAGTTTTGATTTGTTCCTCTATGTCCTTTTTACCCTTTTTTCCCTACATTTCTGATCAATTGTGAATTTTTTTCCCCGTTAATCATTTCTTTTATTTCTCGCAATTATTTTTTTCACTGAATCTAATTTTTTATCATTGATAGTGCCTTTGGGGTGGGGCCCCAGTGGCTCAACTTTTTTTTTGAGTCTCTAGGGACACTATATGGCGACAACTCCCGTATTTAGTTGGACGACTCCTGTATTTTTTAACATAAAAAAAGTAGAAATATTTAGTGGAATTAGTGCGCCGACTCTTGCCTTTTAGGTGGACAACTCCCATAAAAAAAATAAAAATCTCCAGTGAAATTAGGGCAACAACTCCCTTTATTTTTTTGGGAATTGGAAGAACAACTCCCACTGACGACCCCTCGACCAAAACGGGAGTCGTCGCCTAACATTTGGGAGTCGTTTTTCCAAGCCCCCTTAACTAAGTCCCTCTTTATTCGGAGGGGGGGCACCATCCCGCAGGGACCCTCCGAAGGAGGGACTTATGTGCTA